TAGGACAGGAAGGGAGACTGTTGCTGCTTCTCTGTGTGCTCGCTACCTCGACTTAGGGGTGGACTGCACCCTTCTGCAGAAGTACATTTACCTGGAGATTTCCTGGTGTCTAAGTTCTTTATTTCTGCACCAACCAAATGAGTCTCGGGCTTGTTGCCAATACTAACTTCAAATTATATTAGAAAGCAATAGTTATCAAAGAAGAATAGTATTATAATAACAAGAAATAAATGAACTAGAAAGACCAGAAATAATGCTTACACAACCAACTAACCTTCAATAAAGCCACCAAGAATACATAATTGGAAAAGGATAGTAGCTTCAAACAATGGTGCTGAGAAAAATGGATATCCACTTAGAAAGAAGAGAAAGACAAAGAGAGACAGAGGAAAAAGAAAAAGAACTTGGGTCCTGATTTACAGCACATACAAATATTAATTTCAAATATATTATAGGCTTAAACATAACACTGAAAACTATAAAACTCCTTTTAAGAAAACAGGTGGAAAGCTCCTTAACAAGAGGCCTTAGCAATGACTTTTTGCACATGACATCAAAAGCATAGGCAACAGTTTTTGTTCATTTAGTATGATGTTGGCTGTTGGTTTGTAAAACATGGAATTTATCAAGTTGAAATAAAGACCATATATCCTAATTTTCTGTAAGGTTTTTATCATAAATGGACATTGGGCTTTCTCGAGCACTTTTTCTGTACCTATTGAAAGGATCATATGGTTTTTGTCCCTGGCTCTGGTAATATGGTATATTATATTTATTGATTTGCATATGTTGAACCAACCCTACACCCCTGGGATGAATCCTACTTGGTCGCAGTGTATAATCTTCTTAATGATTTGCTGCATTCTGTTTGTCAGTATCTTACTGAGAATTTTTGTACCTATGTGCATTAGGGAGACTGCCCTATAGTTCTCTTTTTTGACTAGATCCTTCTCTGGTTTGGGTATCAGGGTAATGCTTGCTTCCAGGAATGAATTTGGGAATATTGCTTCCCTTTCAATTTCACTAAAGCTTTCACTCCAAATCAAAAACAAGATGTCCACTGTCATCACTCTTAGACAATATACTTCTGAAAATATGGACCAGAGCAATTAGACAAGAGAGAAATAAAAGGAATAAAGATATGAAAAGAAGAAGTTAATTCTCATTATTCTTGGATAACATGATACTCTACACAGAAAACCCAAAAAAATCCACCAGAAGATTTCTAAATGTAATAACCAAATTCAGTAGTGTAGCTGAACAAAGAGTCAACACTCAAAAATGAATAGCAGAGCCAGGGATTTAGCTCAGTGGTTCCGCCACCTGCCTCGCAAGCCCAAAGTCCCAAGTTTGATCTCTGGTACAAAAAAAGAATAGCATTCTTATACACAAATAACACTGAGAGAGAAATTAGGAAAACAATACCTTTCACAGTAATATCCAAAAAAAACCTGAAATACTTAGGAATCAATGTAACAAAGGAAGTAAAAGAACTCTACACTGAAAACTACAGTACTCTGAAAAAGGAGATTGAAGAGGACATCAGAAAATGAAGATAGGGCCAGGGATTAGCTCAGTGGTGCCACCACCTGCCTCACAAGCGCAAGGTCTGGAGTTCAATCCCTGGACCACAAAAACAAAAACAAAACAAAATATTAAGGGGCTAGGTGTTTAGCTCAGTGGTTCCACCACTTGCCTCACAAGCACAGAGGCCTGAGTTCAATCCCTGGTACAAAAAAAAAAAAAAACAAAAACAAAGATATCCCTTGTTCTTGGATAGAAAACCAATATAGTGAAAATGGCCATACTTTGAAAATTGTTATACAGATTTAATGTGATCCCAATCAAAATACCAAAACATCTCACAGAGTTAGATAAGACAATTCTATTGGAACAAGAAAAGACCTAGTATAGCAAAAACAATTCTGGGCAACAAAGGCAGGGTCATCACAATCCTTGACCTGAAATTATATTACAAAGCTACTGTGATAAAAAACAGTATAATACTAGCAAAAACCAAACAAATAAAAAAGACCCAAATTCAATGGAACAAATAAGAATATGAATAACTTTGGACATACTCAGCCACCTTATTTTGACAAAGGAGCTAACACCTTCACTGGAAGAAAGATAGCCTCTTTAATAAACGATGTTGGAAAAAATGGATTTCAACCTGCAAAAGATTAAAATTAGACCCATATCTTTCATCATGCACTAAACTAAAATCAAAATGGTTCAAAGATGTAAATACTGAAACAGAAACACTAAACTTGCTGGAAGATAAATTACTTATAACTCTTGAAGACACTGGCATAGGAAAAGACTTTATGAACAAAACCTCAGTAGCATGGGAATTAGCACAAAGAATCAATAACAGGGATCTCATCTTATTAAAAAGCTTCTGCATTGCAAGCAAAACTACCAACAAAGCTAAAAGACAACCTATAATGTAGGGAAAAAATTTTTATCAGCTGTTCCTCAAACAAAGGACTATTATTTAGAACATATAATGAATTTTTTAAAAAATCAGGCCCCCCAAAGAACCAATTCAAAAATGTGCATCTGAAATGAACAGACACTTATTGCATGAAGAAGTAAAAGCAGCAAATAAACATATGACAAAAATATTCAGCATCAGTGGTCATTCAAGAGATGCAGGTGAAAACAACACTGAGATTACACCTCACCCCAGAAAGAATGGCTGCTGTCAAGAAATCAAACAATAACAAATGCTGGTGGGGTTGTGTGGAGAGAGGAGCCCTTTTTTATTGTTGATGGGTGTGCAGACTGGTGCAATCACTGTGGAAATCAACATGAAGATACCTCAAAGAACTAGGATTAGAAGTCCCATTTGACCCAGCTATTCCTCTGCTGGGTATCTTCCCCCCAAAATTAAAAGAATCATACCATAGTGATATATGTGCATCCATGTTTATAGTGCCACAGTTTATAATAATTAAAACTTGGAAACAGCCCAATTGCCCATCAATTAGAGACTGGATGAAGATGCGTTTTTTTAAAAATAAAATGGAGTACTACTCAGCCATAAAGAATGAGAAACTAGAGACATTCATAGCTAATGTATGCAAATAGAGGCCGTACTCTTAGGTGAAATAAATAGGACATGCTTGTGTAAATACCAAATAGTTTCTCTGGTGTGAGAAACTAAAAGTGTAAATAAGGATCAAAGTATAATTGATAATGTGTATTAGGAAGAAAAGGTCTAAAGGGGTAGGAGAAGTGGGAGGGGTAGGGGAACAGAAAGAAGGGAAAGGAAAAAATATGAAAAGAAAAAATGGAAACAAAGTCTTCGTAAATAAGGAGTGCTGGAGGGGTTGAAGGGAGTGCAGGAGAATGAGGAAAACATAAAAACCAAGATACATCATGTAAAGGTACAAGATCCCAATGACGAATGTAGCTGTACTGTATCCATAAAATGTACCAATAAACTTAATAAAAGAAGACAAAATAACAACATATACAGAGGTATCTTGCTACTTGCTATTAACTGGTTCTGGGGGGCATGATGAGTATCCAAAACACGTACCAAACAAATTTTGGGTCATGAAAAGAGTAGCAAGTAACAAGTCAGTAGACACTGAGAAATTCTAGGTTCCACGTTGAGTACCAAACAAATAAGGGAGCACCAGCCAGGACAAAATTTTGGACTCAAAATAAAGCAAGTACCAAATTCAAGGAGTTTTAAATCAGCTGAGTGCCAAGGTATGATTGCATTTAAAACTTGCTAAGAAAGTAGCTCTTAAGTGCTCTCACCACTCACACACACAAACCAACAACAGTAACTATGTAAGATGATGGACATGTTAATTAAATTGACTGTGACAGTCATTTCACATCATATACTGAAACACTGCACCCAGGTATAGTGGCATACACCTATAATCCCAGCACTCAGAAGGCTGAAACAGGAGGATTCTTACTTCAGCCTGAACTACACATGAAGACCCTGTCTCAAAACAAAACAAAAATTACATATACCTTAAAGACACTCTATTTTCATTTTTCAGTTACAGTTTAATGAAACAAAAAAATCCCAAGTCAGGTGTGGTGGCACACGCCTGTAATTTCTGCACTTGAAAGGTTAAGGCAGGACCACTGCAAGTCAAATGCCAGCCTTGGCCACATACTGCATTCAAGGCTAGCCCGAACTACATAGCAACACCCCATCTCAGTAAACAGAACAGAACAGAACAAAAATCACAACACAATACATTTAAAATGTACATTTAGTTAAAAGTATATGAAAACATGAAAAAGACCTGCATGCTGAAGATTATAAACTGCTAATGAAACAAATTTAAATTTTTTTCATTTCCTAGTTACTCAGCATAGCGAAGATACCAACTTTTACCTAGTTGATTTACATGGTTCATATCAAAATCTCAGTTCTGGGGCTGGGGATGTAGCTCAGTGGTAGAGTTCCTGGCTAGCATACTCAAGGCTGTAGATTTGACCCTGTTTTTACAAATTCCAGTTATGTTTTTGTTGGACATAGACAAGTTTATTACAGAATATACATAGAAAGATAAAGGAACTATAATAGCTGAAATAATTTTGCAAAAAAGAAAAAATAATACAGAGATAGGAATCAATCTACCCAACGTTAAGACAAACTTAATAGATATAGTAACTAAGACAGCATGGTGCTGGCGGAGATGCTAAACTGATCAGTGAAACAGGAGAAAGTCCAGAGATTCTGCTAAGGATATAGCTCAGTGGTAGAGTGCTGGCCTAGCATAACAAGGCCCTAAGTTCAATTCCCAGAATTTCAAAAAGAAAGAAAAGGAAAAGCCCAAAAATTGATAAACCCAGCACACTTTTCATAAAGGTGCAAAGACAATTAAATGGCAAAAGGACAATCTTTTGAATAAAGAGTGCTGGGATAATTGCAATGTTCATTATTGACTAAATAAATCTTGACTTAAACCTAATATGTTTCACAAAAAATTAATTCAAAATGAATCTTGGACCCACTGTACCTGAGATGCCTGTAATTCCAGCTCTCAGGAGGCTGAGGAAGAAGGATCATGACTCTGTGGCCAGCCTGGGCTACACAGCAAACCCCCTGTCTCAAAAAAACAAAGAAAAAGTCAAATGGATTGAACTGTAAAATATAAAACTATAAAACATTACAAATATAGGAAAAAATATTCAGGAGTTATATGAAGACAAAGATTTCTTAGCTATGGTAGTAAAACAAATAAATAAAAGGGAAAATGTTAAGATATTTAGAATTTTTTTCTGTGAAGGATCCTGTTAAAGAAAGAAAAGACATGTCATACTGAGAGGGTATACAGTATTTTCAAACCATATACTCAACAAATATTTGACTGTTTTTAAAAGATAGTGAAATTTAAAAATAAAAAACAATCTAACTAGAAAATAGACAAAAGACATAGGCATTTCATCAAAGAGGAAATAATGATAAAAATTATATTAAAAGAGGTTCATTATTAGGAACCATTACAGAAATAAAATAAAATAACAAGGAGATATAATTATACACCTACTAAAATGACTATAATTAGAATGGCTACAATAAGAAGTGTTAGAAACCACATGGGGTCTCACATGTAGAAAACTCCAAAGGAGTGACGGCAGAACTTTTAGAGACTGAGAGTTCAAACTGTAACCCACTTCTTTATCACAAAGTGTCAACCCTGAAATTAACCCTAAACGTCTGGCTTCTGGGGCGATGCTGGGGTGACTTGGCTTGCGCACTTGCCCACTGTGGTACATGTACAGAGGTTTGCCACTCCTGCTCTAAAGCTCTACCCTCTCCCCCGAGAAAGCCTGTTAAAACTAAGTAAAAAATTCATCAAATTTTAAGGAAATAAAATCAGCACACAAAAATAAATTATATTCCTATACAGCAATGAATAACCAAAAGAAAATTAAGAAGGTAATTTTAATTATAATAGCATTCATAGAATACTCATGAATAATTTTCCAGGCATTGAAAACTTCAAAACACTGCTGAAAGAATTAAAGAAAATACCAACAGACAATGACAACTGTGTTCATGGATTGGAAAATTTAATATCACTAAGATGGAATTACTGAGTTTCCAAATTTAATGTAAACACTATTCAAAACCCCATGGATTTTTTTATGCAAAAAGACAACAAATCTATTTATAAATTCATATGGAATCTCAGAGTTTCTGAACAGCCAAAACAATGGAGGTGGGTTGGAAGTCTCATACTTCCTGATTTTGAAACTTAACAACAAAGCTACATTATCAGAAAAAGTGTACTGCTGGCATAATGAGACACACACCAGTGGAAGAGAATAGAAGCTGAGGAAAAAAAAAAAAAGCTCTTGCATATATGGCCAGATGTTTTAAAGGGTGCCAAGAGCCGTAATGAGGACTAGTCTTCCCAACAAGTGGTATGAGAAAACTGTGCATCTTCATACAAAGGAACGAGTAGGGTGTGGTGGCACACGCCTGTAATCCCAGCACTTGGGAGGCTGAGGCAGGAGGATCGCTGTGAGTTCCAGACCAGCCTGGGCTACATAGTGAGTTCCAGGTCAGTGTCAACTACACAGTGAGACTCTGTCTCAAAAAAACAAAACAAACAAAAAAACATACAAAGGAATGAAGTTAGACCTTTAATTTACACTATATAGAAAAACACAAAATGGAATAAAGACTTCAACATAACAGCTAAAAACATAAGCCTTAAAATGGGAGGCTACAAGACGTGCTATGGACTAAATTGAGTCCCTCCTCCATAAATGGTCTTTCATATGAAGCACTAACTCCCAATGAGGTGGTTTTAAGAGGTGGAACCTCTGAGAGATAATTGGGTTTAGATGTAATGATAAAGGTGGAGACTCATGAAGTCCTCCCTAGAAGGAGAGCAACAGATACCTTTCTCTTTCAAGCTTATTTTTTTCTCCTTTTCCTTCTTCCCTTCTTGTCTCTCTTCACCATATGAAAACAGAAAAAGAAGGAAGCTGTAAACAAACTAGAAGGGCCTTCACTAGAAACCAAATCAGCCATCTCCTTGATCTGAACTGTAAGAAATGAGGATCTGTTGTTTAAGTCACCTAGATCAAAGTGGACAGAGAAGAGTGATATTATATTTATTCAGCAGTGATTTATTTAATGTAACACAAACTATACAAGCAACAAAAGAAACAATAGATTAAACAGACCACCAAAATTTCAAACTTTTATCCATAAGGACATTATCAAAAGAAGGTAAAAAGGCAATCCATGGAATGGGAAAAATACTTATAAATCATATATCTTGGATAAGGGAATGATATCAGAATATATAAAGAATACCAACAAGTCCCTAACAACAAAACCAGCAAGCCTATTTAAAAATAGGCAAAGAACTAGAATAGACTTTTTAAGAGATAGAAATGGCCAATAACCATACCCAAAGGACTGCCTGCAGCAAGGGGATAGGCTCAGAAAAGCACACCCCTTCACCACTCCCGGGCAGGTTGGTAAACAGCCTACAGGCAGGTGGGAAATCGGTGCGACTGCCTGCAAGTGGACTAGGACTAAATCAGAAAGGGGATTGTGGAGACACTCTGGCTATATGCACAGGGCCCACATGGGAATTGTTTGTATGGTTTCTTGCTGGGGTGCCCATTCTGAGTCCTCATCATTTTCTCTTTGCTTTGCTTTCCCTTCTCTCTGTGTTTTTCCTCATTCCTTTTCTTTAATTTTTGCTTATATATTGTCTTAGTTACTATTCTTATTGCTTAGACAAAATACCCAAAACTCAAAGTTAAAAGGAGGAAAGGTTTATTCTGGCTCACAGTTTGTAGAAGTTTCAGTCTATAATCAGCTGGCTCCAAGTCAGGGTGGCATGGCAGAGGGGCATCATGAGGAGAAACAGTCCATGGCAGGGAGAAGACAGCAAAAGCAACAAGCGACCAATCACACCAGTATCTCATTCGGTCCCTTTATATTCTATCTAGGTGGGTGGCATTCACACCCAACTATGCCAAACCCATCAGGGGACCAATTTAGTAATCACACACGCTTAATCCCAGTAACACACCATAGATCTAGCCTTCTCTGAAAAGCTCCAGCTATGACCACATGAGGCTTTATGATGAAAAAAGCTGTCAATGACACACCATAGTCAAAATTGCAGATTAAAATAAAATAGATACTCCCCAGAAGGAAAACACATGAACAATAAATACATAAAAATATTCAACATCTCTGGCCATTAGTGGAATTAAATTAAAACAACTCTGACATTCCAGCTTACCTCAGAATGGAAATCATCTAATGACTAAGAAAACAAATAATGACAAATGTTGGTGAGACTGTGGTAAAAAAGGAACCCTTCTTCATTATTGGTGGGATTGTAAACTAGTACAGTAACCACAGAAATCAGTATGGAGAGTCCTCAAAAACTAGACAGAACTTTCCATTGAACCAGCTATTTTCCTACTGGATATATTCTTGAAAGAGTTAAGGATATCATACTACAATGACACATGCATACCCATGTTCATAGCAGAACAATTCATAATAGCTAAGTCTTGGAAGTTGTCTATATGTCCATCAAAAGACAATTAGATAAGGCTGGGCATGGTGGTGCATAGCTGAGGTAGGGCCAGGGATTTAGGTCAGTGGTACCACACCTGCCTTGCAAGTGCAAGTTCCTGAGTTTGATGTCCAAATTGGCGGTGGGGAGGGGAGGGCTAACACAGAAGGATTCCTGTAAGCTCAAGGCCAGATGGGCTACATAGTGAGTCCAAGGCTAGCATGAACTACATAGTAAGACTCTGTCTCAAAAAACAAAACAACAACAAAAAGATAAAATATGGTATGTATACACAATGGAATATTACTATACTATAAAGAAAGATACATTTAAGTCATCTTTAAGAAAATGGGAGAACCACGCCTGCTCCTGGCCCAGCAGCCATCGCTCAAGCGCCGGGAAGGTAGGCCGGCCCCGATCCACCATGGAAAGGAGAACCACTCCTGCTCCTGAAGGTAGCCGCGCGGGCGCCCCTGAACCCCTATAAGCTAAGCACCTCCTACTGCACTCTCAGACCTCCTGTCTGTGCAAGTCTTTTGACCCACTCTGCAAAGACAGAGGTGGTCATCAAGGGTATTTTTCTGAGTTCCCAATTTTGAACATCTTTAAAGAAAGGGCGGGGGGAAACCTGTAATAGAACGTTGCGGAGTTCAACCATTCAGAAGGATGGGGAACTCAATCTGGGCCTTGCAGCCCGAGGTCAGTCAGCATCATGGGGTTCATCAATCAGCTAACTGAGATCAGGGGTCTTGCATCCTCACTCTGTCTGAGCCATTAAATGGTTAATATACTATATTGAAAAGTTTGTTCACTGCACACATGTTCTGGACTGCTTCTTGATTTCAATTTAATTTAAATGATTTAAGGGTGATAGACTAGTGACTGCCACAGGTGGTCAGTGTCCAAGTTGTGCTTGATCTTAATGTGTCGCTGATTGTATCAGTTGGGGTAAAGCATTGCTGTTGCTGATTGTATCAGTTGGGGTAAAGCATTGCCGTTGAATTGATGAGCTGTTTTCTCTGATGTTATGAAGATAAGAATGTCCGTGGGTCATTAGAGACACAGAAGATAGGGTGCAACTATATCAGGAAGATTTGGGTGATAATCCAGAGATTAAACCAAGGACAGTCCAACAACAAAAATTAAAATGAGAAAACACTTAAGCAAGACACAAGGACAGACTTCCAGTTCACCAATGGCAAACAGTAGGGCAAATGAGGATGAAAAGGCCGATAGTGAATCACCAGGACACCCTGAACTCAAAGCACAGGAAGTAACAAAACAGATCAATCAGGCTCTAGAAAAATTCAAAACAGAAATAATTTCCCAGATAACCATAGAGATAGTGAACAAAATGGAAGTCATGATTCGAGACTCTAGAGCAGAAACTGACAAAAAAATAGATGAGCTCAGGACCATGATAGAAGCCATGAAGGCCCAGCATAAGAAAGAAATGGAAAAAATAAACGCCCAACATAGGAAAGAAATGGAATCCA